AAATCCAACTTAAATGTTTTCGTTTTTGGGGCCTTTAAAAATAACCAATTTTTTTAATTGAAAAATTTAAACCCAACTTAATGTTTAAATTGTAGCCATTGGAATCAATTTTTTAAAATTTTTGTTATAGTATATAGTTTTTTAAAAATTACAGTTTTGGCAAAAAACCCAATTTTAAATTTTAAAAATTGAATTTAAATTTTACCACATTTTAGTTGTGCTATTTAAATTTGAACTCACAGTTTAGTTGTAAGATAAAATTTTTTTTTAAGTCATTAAAAATAAACTCTTTTCAATTTTTTTTTTAGGAAAAATTTGGGGCCCCGGGGCCCATCGGCCCCCCCCTGTTTTTTGGTGCTATTTGGGGCTTTTTACAAAACGGGCTTACAAATAGAAAAAATTAAAACGGGGGATAAAAAAAGGATATTTAAAACGGGAAACCCCTAAACCCAAAAATTTTTTTTAAAAAAGGGCTTTTTTGTATTCTAATACGTGTACATATTTTTTACAGTAGGGGTTTTGGCAAAGGCGCGGAGCAAGGTTTGGGGATACGAGAAAAGTGTTTCACAGGGGGAAAACATTTCCCTTGGAGCCAAATTATATGAGTTTAAGAAGTTCACAGGGGGCCGTGGGCACATCACCCCTTTGATCTTGAAACCAAATATCGAGTGTTTACAGCAGACCCATAACTAGAAGTAAGCATTTTTCCACAATTGTTTAAAAATTTGTATGACTTATCACTAACACTTTGCAACAATTTTAAAAGCAGTGGTGGATGGTATTTTTTGACAAAAATATCAATCATTTTTATCTTTCGAACATTGGCTTCTGTCAATGCCAACTGTTTTTTCGGATCTTCTTACTTTTTCTTCATTTCTTTTTCTGGCTATTTTTAACATTTTAACACGAAAATCTGCATATTTTATCTCTTTTCCATTGGATCTTCTTCAAAGTCGAATGCATCTTTTTTTTCTAATTTTTCAAACTTGCTACTTAATTGCCAAACATATCCAATTTGTTTATTCATAATTCTTATTAGCCATGTAAATCTTAATTTCACTTTTTTAGTTTTTTTCTGAATTAAATTGCTTTTATAAAAAAAATATTGTTATAATTTTCATTAGCATTTTTTTCATTGATTTTTTAATAAAACTTTTTGTTTAGGAAGGTTTTAGATATTTTTTTTTCAAAAATTTTTTTATTATTTTGTAATAAAATTTTAAACTTTTTTTTTGGTAAATTTGGGTTAAACAAAAGTAAAAATTTTTTAAAAAAGTTCAGTTTTTAAAAAGGAAATCCCTTAAATTTTATGAAAAATTTAGTAAATTTATCCCTTAACTAAGAAAACCTTTTTTGTTAAAATTTTTCTAAGACATGATTGTATTTTTTTACCCCAAAAACCTTTTTCCTAATTAAAAAATTTGCAATTAAACGAAACAGTTTTTCCAGGGCCCCATTATTTTTTAGTTAAATGGTTTTCAGTGGTTTCCCCGTCCCCTTGATCTTCGTTCAAAAATGAACATTTTGTCAATTACCCAGTATTTCTTTGTCCAAACTGTTTCAAATAGTTTAACATATTGGCAATATCTCATATTTTCTATGTAGTATAGCATTTTTTTTAATATAATACACAGGTGTCCACTTACTGCACATATGCAGTTTACTTTCTGCGGCCGGGATGAGTTACCCCATTGCTGCAAACGCAGCATACGATATTTACTACGAGGACGTTCATGAAAACAAGTGCTGTAGATGCAACTTATGGTAATAGCTTCGTAAAAAATTTCGGTAAACTTTTTCCGAAAGGTTTTCGTGTAGAGCCAAACCTAACGTTCCTCCTTAGAATACTGCAATTTATAACGGAAAGAGACAAGTTTGTCGAGTGTAATCCGAGCTCAGAACGAAGGGGACAGTTTTTAATTTAAATGAATGTTTCCTTTAAATTATTTTTTGAAAATTTTGGGGATCAAAAAAATTAAAAGGGCCATTTTTAACGTCATTTAAAGGGGAGTTTTTAAAAAAAGTTTAAAAATGGGAAAAGGGGGCGTTTTTTTTTTTCCATTTTAAAGCAAAAAAAAATTTTTAAAAATCAAATTTGTTTTTTTTTGGGGTTTTTTAATTTAATTTAATTTCTTTTAAATCCACGTTTAATTTAAAAAAGGGCCCAGGGGTTTAAAGGGCGCAAAAGATGGGATTTTTTTCCCTGTTTTTTGTAAATTAAAACTGTTTTTCCCTTTGAATAAAAAAATTTTTAGGGAAAAATACCCCCAGGGTGGAAAATTTCCTTCTTAAAAAAAAATAAATTAAAATAAAGGAAACCCCATGAAATCGAGAAAGTTAAAATTTAAAAGGGGTACTTTAAAACGGAGGGGGGGGAACTAAAAAAAAGACCGGATGCAAAAAATTTAAAAAGATGGAAACCCCCCCAATTTCCCCCCCCGGGTGTACTTTAATTTTTTAAAAAATTTTACTTTTTTGATTTTTTTTATTCAAAAATTTAAAGGGGGTCGGGGACCTGGGGCATTGATTTCCTCATAGGCTTAAAATTATGGGGAAATTTGGCCCCTTAATCCTCCCTTTAAAAATTGATTTTTCCTGCAAAAGGGTGTTTCCTCTAAAAGAATAAAAGGGCTAAAACCCCAAAAAATTGTTTCTTTTTTTAAAATTTTAAATTAAAGGGGGCTACATTATTCTTTCTTCAACATTTTAAACCAAAATTTGTTTTTTTAAACTAAAATTATGTCAAAAGAAACCATAATTTTCTTTAAATGGTCTCCCCTTTTTTTTTTGTTTATTACGCAATCTTTGGGAATTTAAAAGGACGCTATATTACAGGGCCGTCATTTCGAAAAAGTTGGCCTCTTTCCCTATTCTAAATTTTATTTACTTTGCATTTTTTCACATTTCAAAAGTTAATTTTAAAAAAATTTTTGTTTTTTTTTTTGCAAATTTTTTAGAAAGGTTTTAAATGGGGAAAATTTAATAAAAATTTTGGGTTTTTTGCAATTTTAGGGGACATTTTTTTATTATTGTTTTTTAGGGAAAAAACCTTTTTCCTTTTTTTTTAAAAACAAAAAAATTTTTTAAAACAAAAAAAGCAAACAAAAAAAAAAACAACTTTTAAATTTTCATTTAAATTTTTTGGAAATTAAATTAGGAATTTGGCTTTAAATTATTAAATATTTTTTTCCCCAAACACACTATGAAGGGGAAATTTCCTTTTTTTCATCTTTTTGTTTTTGATGGGGGAAATTGTGGGCTTAAAAGACTCCCCTGACTTTTGTTGTTTTGTTTTTTAAAACAAAAAAAATTTTGGGGTTTTTATTCCAAAAATTTTAAAGGTTTTTAAAGGGTTTTTTTAAACAGGCTTTAACCCTATATATGGGTTATTTGCCTCATCTATTGGGTCGGTTTTTTTTGAAAACAACCGTTCACTTACGGAAATAAAAACATCCCAAGAAAAATTCTTTAAAAACAAATTTATAATACAGAAAAATTAAACATTATTAATTTAAAAAATGGAATTAACTTCAAAATTTTGGACAGGCAGTATGTCTTTTTGATGGGATTTTAAAACGTCAGATGGGCACCCAATGAAAGTGCCCGGTGGGGATCAACGGCCCAAACCATTAAATTTTTTTTTCATTTTTACATTTTAAATAAAAAATAAAAAATTTTGGGTTTCCCTTTTTAAAAAAAAGCTGCGAGGGTTTTTTTGCTCTTTTTGGAAGATTTTTTAAATTTCCTCTATATTTTCTAAAACGGACATAAAGTATGTTAATCAAACAATTTTAAGCCCAGGATTTACATAAAAAATGTTAATATCATTTGATTGGCAGCTGCATGCCTCCAACCATAATATTTGAAGAAAAACCAACTTGAGTAAAATTTGTACCATTTGCGCAAAATAATCTCCGTTGCGTTATTTAGTCATACCGGGAGCAGCAAAGTTTCGGTACACGGTTCACTCGGCCATATAATAGTGCATGGTGATATTGTAGCTATACTGTTCACTGTTATTATTTATCGGAACATGAAATAGTAAAACGCTATTCAGAAAACAATACGGTAATCGATTTATACAGTTTAAAAGATTAAAACGGAATGAAACATCCATGTAGCACTAAATAACGTGAATGATATTTTCCGATTTTCCTATGTACCGATTTGTTCACACTGATGTTAATTTTTCGTTTAAGTTAATTCGTATTTTGAAACGGAGCATGCACAAAACAATTTTTGTAGACTGCTCCTAATGATTTTACGCTTTAAAAGAGATTCATTCACTACAATCAGATACGCAAAAAATGGATGCCGCCAGTAATCAGTCTGAACACTGTGGAGAGGTCTGATGACCTCTCCAATCACGTGTACTGAAACATTTGAGTCGGTGACGCCCTAATTTTTTAGTTATTTTGACTAAGTATACATTTTAAAGGACGTTTAAAGAAAAAAATCAAAAATTTATTTCAGGAATTTTTTAATAAGCCGCCTTAAAGCCGAAAATTGCGGCTAAACTGAACGTCAAATTTTACACAAAATTGACAATTTTCTTTCCATTACTCAAACAATTTTCGGCGTAAAACAATAAATTTTATATCTGCTTAAAAGAAAAAATAATTTCCGTCGAATGCTGTAGGATTTAAGATATTTTGTCCGCCAATGGCGTTGAAATACCCGTAACAGTTGCAAAGGATACGCAACGACGTCATGTTCAAAAACGGGCTTTGATGGTCAACTTTGACGTCGTGTGTACAAAAATTGGCTGAAACTATTGAAATAAAATCAACGAAATCCAATCAGAAATATGTTCAATTTTTTTGCATGCCAATTTTCAAGACGCTACTCGAAAGTTAGCAAAGTGTTGCGTTTTACCTTAACATGTATTGTCTATGCCATATTGTAAATGGCCAAAGACAAAATTAATGTTTTTGCTAAATGTTTATAAACTTTTAAATTGATTAACTGGGATATAATTATAAATCAGATACAGTGTATTAATGCTGTTTTATTTTTATTACATTTTAATAAGCATGCCCAGCTGGATGTAAGCCGAGGACAAAATGCAAGGATGAAGACAAGGGTTTGAACGTCGATGTGAAATATTTTCAGCTGACAAATATTATCATAACTAATGAAGTCATGGAGAGGATGATGGAGAATCTACTTCTTGTTGAGAAAAATTTACGCGAGAAACACGTGCAGACTGCAACAGTTATTCGGACACAATCGGCAGGAATGGTAAGTTTCTGGTTAATTTCTCTTTATTAAATACAACTTAGCACTTCAGTCAATTGTAGGACGGCATACTGCAGTCTTTACTTTTCTATCTACGAGTATATGTATATTCTTCGAGTTTTCTCCAAGTCAGCAGTGTGGTTTTTAAAAATAAAAGTGGTAATTTTGATTGAATAAGAGAGAGATTGTATCATAGTTTGGGGACCTTTCTGTTGAATATGTGACAGAGTTAAATCGTACACACATACATGCACAGTGCGTTAACTGGAGTGCAGGTATTAGTTACCCGCACTCCAGAGCATGCCCATTGATTGGTTCATTTTGTCCGGGGTTTACATATTGTGACGACAGAGAAAGGGATAGCGATGGAAATATCATATTCAGATGCTCGTTCATTGGTTATTTTTTGTGGGGTTTCATGTTGTGGTATCAGGGAACGTGTTATGATACAAACGAGATTGTATCATAGTTTTGGGACATTTCTGTTGAAAATGTGACAGAGTTAAATCGTATACATATACATGCACAGTGCGTTAACTGGGGTGCAGGTAGAAGTTACCCGCACTCAAGAGCATGCTCATTGATGGTTCATTTTGTCTGGGTTTACATTTTGTGACGACAGATAAACGGATTCCGATGGAAATATCATATTCAGATGCTCCTTTATTGGTTACTTTTTTGTGGGGTTTCATATTGTGGTATCAGGGAACGTGGTTTTATGTTTGACTATGATACAAAAGAGAAAGAACATCAAAACACTCGGCAATCTGATTTATACTCGGGGGCTACGCCCCCTCGTACAAATCAAATAGCCTCGTGTTTCGATGCTCTTTCTATTACTTATACAATAGGAATTGTTTCAGTACACTGTTAGCTTTCTGCTTATGTTGAATTTAAAGTGAAACTGTTTTGCGCTGTTTTCACAATCTTTATATTCCTACGTACATGATACATGTAGACCTCTAATATTTTATTGTGTGGGTTGAATATATGAAAGGATACATTATAATAGACACTAGACACTAGTCTGCCATATTAGTCTGACGACGACAACAACAACAACAACAACAAATACAACAACAACAACCAAAAAAAAAGTATGAAATAGAGAAGGACTTACAACAGTTTTGCGGTTAACTCTTAACTCTCGATGTATATAATTATATAAACATTGATCAATCATTTTGTCTTGAAAACGCAAATACAAATGTACAAATGTTCTACTACATTGTAATTCCAGACATACAAATCTTAGGGAATAGTGGGGATTTTTTTTCGATTTTGAAAGACCAATCTGATGATTAAATCAACAGCTAGTTGGAAATATTCCCGCATTTTTTGGCACTAGAAAACGCTTCATTGAACCGGAAGTGTGTCTGTGTTGCGGATGGTTTTATTTGGTTGCCAGCGGGGTTTTTATTTTCAGCTCATTTGGTCTGCTATCCCCGCACTTCCGCGAAGACTGGACCATGTTGTTACAAATTATAGTTGCCAAGGAGCATAATGTAAATTTTTTGGCATCTAAACGCTATGATTATAGTGTTTTATAGAGATGTTCAATACACAAATAATCTAAACACTTACTTTTCAAACTTTCAGGTTGCTGAAATTAAGAACCAAGCCAAGGAGATAAGAGAAACTGCAACATCCCAGTCACAGAAAATTAAAGTTGTATCAGAGGCGGACTATACGAACACTATAGAGACAGCTCGAGGATCAGGTCTTAAACAATTGTATACCAGCCTAGGTATAAACTCTACAGAACATAAGAACAGTTTTGACTACTTGAAAACACTGAGGGGGCTGGCTAATGTTCACCTTACTGTGGACTTCCAACAAAGGATTGCTGGAAATGTTTAAACGACAGAGAACAGACAATAAAAGCAACAACAACATATCACCAAGAAAAAAAACAACAACAGCACCAGCATTATCATCATCAACAACAACAACAATAGCAACAACAACAACAGCAAGAAAACCCAACAAAACAAATAAGCTATTTTGGGTTGATATCCAAAACACAACAACAAAAAAATAACAATTACTAAATTCATGTTAAAAATGATAATTATATAAATTTATTTTAAATTGCAATTTTTATGCCCAAAACATGCTTTTATTTTTATTTCTCAAAAAAAAAAGCTTTTTTATTTTTGTTGTCATGCTATAGTTTCAAACATATTACTCATGAAACTTTTTTAGCTTCTTATGCCTTTTGACAATTAGTAGTGTTATATAGTATATTGTATGATTGATTACGTTTTGCTACTTTTTTGATAAATAATTTCATATTCAGCGCTTCTTTCTTCAGGCGATTAGCATTAAACATGCTCTCTAAACCATTATTTTTAAAATGTTACAAAACCCATGTGTACACATTCTAAAAAAGAGAAGAACATTTCAGAGGCATAAAAATAAAAGTAAGAAAGGATAATAGCTGGCACGTTAATAGTGGTATACGGATAATTAACTGGAATAAAATACGAAAAAATGTTAATTTCGTGCGCTCGTTATTGGTCCAGACCTACATGAAATGGTACACAAATCCTGAAAACAAATTTCCAGATTCTTCATGTCAAAAATCGTAGTTGTGTCCCTTTACCGGTGAGAAAAATATATACACGTTTAGTTAGAAATTTCATCAAACGACGTGTTAGTCAGTTCGTGGTCAGTTGGTTGGTCGGTCGGTCCGTTGCGGAATTTCTTGTCCGGGATATATCTCAAAATACACAGGAGATATCAACTTCAAATTTTGTAGGTTGATAGATCTCATTGAGTAAAAGTGCAGTGCAAAAGAACCTTAAATCCGTTCTGCCTAATTTTTGAGTTATTGCCCTTTGTTAAGTTTACTTTTTGAACTTTGTCCGAGACATTACCCTATAACGACAAGCACGTGTCGGGGTATTCGGTACTAGTGACAATTTCTAGTTTAGAATTTATTGAAAAAATTATAAGCATACTGATATATTCAATATTTTTCTTAATAACACTCATTGCCGAAATTTCGCAAAATAAAATACAAAAAGAAGAAATATGAAGAATAATGTTTCCCTAAGATTCGAACATACTATACATTCAAATAACACCCAATGCCGAATTAGCCGGACTCTTGGGAGAAGCACTGGTACGATTTATACAAGCGGTAATACCCTTATGTATTTTCGCAGGGATGCTATTATTTAAAATGACTATCCCATTGTTACGTGCCCTGTTTCAACTGTACCTTCCCCTTAGACACACTCAATCATGATGCTGACGTGCAAAGATATCCTCAGTGTCACACATTCCTCTCAGATAACATGCGATGTTTTATTACTCGGTTTAATTGAGCTGTTAAGGTCGTTGATTTCAAACCACGTGCCCCTCACTGTTGTGGGGTCGAATCCCGCCAGGGACTGGATTCTTTCATGTGTGGGAGCTCTCCAGCAAGCTTACGAACGGCGGTGTTTCTACTTGGGTGTTCGTACGTGTCTAAAATACTGCATGGAGGGTCACCTGAAGTCCTCCTCCATCAGTAAAGATTGAAAGTCGCTATAATGACCTTTACAGTGTTGGTGCGTTGTAAAACCCGACAAAAACCTGCTATTTTATTTACCAGTTTTATCGTTGTAACCTGGGACATAAGATAACTATGTCCCAGTTGAAACAGATGTCCCATTCGTGTTGAAATATTAAAATATTTTGATAGAGTGTTTACAGGGGCGGCAGGATCTGACCC